CTCTAACCCCTGACCTCAAGTGATCTGCCCCCCTCGGCCTCCCAAAGTACTGGTATTAAGACGTGAGTCACAGTGCCTAGCCTCTCACAGCAACCTTATGGTAAAAGAAAGACTTCAGCTGAATTCAATTTAAAGGAGTTTAATTGAGCAATGAATGATTCGCGAATCAGGCAGTCCCCAGAATCACAGCAGATTCAGAGAGACTCCAGTGCAGCCACATGGTGGAAGAAGATTTATAGCAAAAAAAAAAAAAGGGAAGTGTCATACAGAAATCGGAAGTGAAGTACCAAAACAACTGGATTGGTTACAGCTCCACGTTTGCTTAATTGAACACAATTTGAACACTTAGCAGTCTATGAGTGGTTGAAGTATGCCTGTTGGGATTGGCCATGACTCAGCTATTGTTACAGGGCATAATCATAAATTAGGTTTTCAATCTTGTCTACCTATTAAGTGAGGTTACAGTTTGTCCACAAGGACTCAAATATAGAAGTACGGAGTCCTTCTCAGGCCATATTTAGTTCGCTTCAACACTTATAATGCAGGTACTATTATTTTCCCAATATCACACTTGAGGAAACCAAGGGACCTCAGTCACCTTAAACAGCTACTAAATGGTGGTGCTGAGATTTGAATCCAGGCATAGGTCTGGCCCTAGTACCCATTATTTTAACCCAGTACAGTACACTATTGCCTCTCCATTTGTGAAAAAAAAAAAAAAAAAAGACAGAAAATCATATTTTATACGGAAATACAGATAGGATTTTAAAAACATGCCCCAGAAAACCCTACACAACACTTTCTGCTATTAAACCGTTCTCTTTCCTTCCCCTTCTCTCTCCTTCCCTTTTCCCTCTCCAGTCCATCAAATCTTTGCTATGGAATATCACGCACTCCTAAATCCAGCTGCTCCTTTGACATTCTTTGGCCACAACATTAAAATAAATGGCCACCCTAGGAGAGATGGGGTTAAAAACACAGAGAAGAGTCTTCTTGACATGCTAGAGTGGCTGCAGTTGTAGGAGGCTTTCTGGAAAATGGAGGTGATTTTCCAGAGAGTGGAGGTTCGTTTTTCTGGAAACAAAATGTCACGGTTGTCAGGTTACTAATAAAGGGACTATTAGGAAAATTGGGTCCCAAATTTATTCTTAAGGCAAGTAGGGGTGCAGGACGTGAAAGGAAGGTGGGTTTCCCTGTATGCTGGGTGTAATGGCCTGATTATTTCTACTACATGCAAAATAAATCACTGCTTCTTGGAATCCTCAAAACACCCGGGCCCTGGGCACTGAACAGTGTGTGCACGGAAAAGGGCTGTCCCCCTTAGAGTGATGATTGGTAATGATAGGTGATTCATGAAAAAAAAAAAAAAAAAGTACAGGAGGTTACAGGGCAGAGGATGGCAAAGGGACAGGTTGGAGAATCTGTTTTTTTAAAAAAAAAATTATCTGGTTGGTGGTCAAGGACTGGAGGTGGAGAAGAGTGGAGGGGTTGAAGAGGATTGACTTCTCTGTGAAAAGGGTTTTATAGGTTATTTCTAGTATAGCACACTCCTGTGGGAATAAATCTTCATTTAAATTTTTGTGAAATTCTAAAAATAGTTTCTAACATTCACTTGGTAAAGAATTCAGTAACTTCCCAAGTGAATAAGTATATTGATCAATAGATTCCCAATCCATTTTTACCTAAATGGTAGCACACTGTACAAACTATTCTGTACCTTGCTCTTCTGAATTAGCACTGTAACCATAGACAACCAGAAAAAAACCTAAGTATTTATCAAAGCGTGCAATGGTTAAAAGAATTATTCTATATCCATGGAATTGAGTATCATGGAGATATTAGAAATGGTGATGCAACCATATATTGACATTAAAATTATATTCATCTTCTAAGGTCAAATGAGAAAAGCAGCTTTTGAAATAGAGATGTGTGTGTGTACATGCAAATGCATAGTTAGAAGTTTAGAAAGATATATAAACACATAAAAATTGTTGACTGAACATCTCTGAATGATGGTATTACAAATGATACGTTTCCCTATTTTATGTGTGTGTTGTAATGTTTGGGATTTGCTACCATTTGATTAATTCCACATTTAATTTTTTTTTTTTTTTTTTGAGACGGAATCTCGCTCTGTCACCCAGGCTGGAGTGCAGTGGCGTGATCTAGGCTCACTGCGAACTCAGCCTCCCGGGTTCACACCATTCTCCTGCCTCAGCCTCCCGAGTAGCTGGGACTACAGGCACCTGCCACCACGCCCGGCTATTTTTTTGCATTTTTAGTAGAGATGGGGTTTCACCATGTTAGCTGGGATGGTCTCAATCTCCTGACCTCGTGATCCGCCCGTCTCAGCCTCCCAAAGTGCTGGGATTACAGGCGTAAGCCACCGCATGCGACCACATATTTAATTTTTAAATTATGTAATACTTTCACAGAATATTTAAAAATCAGCAAATAACAAAAGGTATAGATTAAAAAGTCCCCATCCTGCCCCAGGATCTTGCATCCCTAGCTCCCTAGTTCCCATTCCTAGATTAGGAAATTCAACATTCAAATGAATAAAACAAGTTTCTCATGATACAGTGTGTATATGGAGAGGCAGGGATGCTGTATTAGCAAATAAGCTCAATATATTATTGTCAGAGCTAGGAGAGAAATCTGTTCTTCATGTGAATCAAGCTTTCTCTGACTTGTTCAGGGCCTCAGATATACTGTTCCCACTAACTGGAAAACTTGCCCTCCCCTTTCCACTTGGCTGTCTTTTTAATGTCCCTTCAAGTCTCAGCTGATAAATCTCTTCCTCCAAGAGGCCACCGTAAACTAGCAGGGATTTCCATCCTGTGCTATCTCAAAGCACTCTGTATTTCTTGTATCTCAGAGAGCACATATACCCTTTGCTGTAGCTTCTTTTTTCTTTTCTATCTCTTAGCAAACATCACAAACCCAGCATGAAGCTTGTTCATTTTTGCATCTTAGAATCTAACATGATGCCCAGCCAGCAGGTTTGGGAAAATCTATCTCATTTGGGTCACAAAGACCAATACGAAAACTTTGTTCCCATCATTTCCTCATCATCCAGCATAGGTTAGAGCTGTTTGAAAGGCACAAATAAAGGAGTTGACTTTTTAGTGGATGGAAAATGGTAAAAGTTTATTACTAATATCTGAAGTGGACTAAGATGTTACTCAGTGTTAAAAAATGTATTTAGAAATAGAATTTGAGGGCAGGAGACTTCTGGAAATGGTTTCCTTACTCTTAAAAAGAGACATACAGGGTCGGGAGCGGTGGCTCACACCTGTAATACCAGCACTTTGGGAGGCTGAGGCGGGCAGATCACGAGGTCAGGAGTTCGAGACCTGCCTGGCCAAGATAGTGAAGCCCCATCTCTACTAAAAATACAAAAATTAGCTGGGCACTCGTGGATTGTACCCAGCTAAACTAAAGGAGCGAAAGGAAGAGAATTGCTGAACGGAAAGTAAAAGCTGAAATAAATAGCCTAGGAAAAGAGCA